TTACCTTTACCTCTATATGCTCCTCCAGATGGCCTATTTACTGAGCATTCATCCTGAACTGCATTGTGAGGTGTTTACAAGTCTTCCTGTTAATAATTTGCTCATTCCACACTTTTCAATGTGTTTCATTCCCTAACAGCAAAAAGTATGCTTCATTTTAAAAGGGAGTTTGTTGTGCTAGGGCAGGTTTGAGGAAACTTCAGCCCTCTAGATGTCACTGAATTAAAATGCCGATCAGCACCAGCAAGCTTGGCCCTTGGCAAGGGGTGATGGGAATTATAGTTCAGCAACATCTGGAGGGCTGAAGTTTCCCCATACTTGTGCTAAAGAGTCAGAACATTTTAATCCATTTTAATTGCAAAAACCTAAGTTTCCCCAAAAAGCACTTTAATGCTTCCTGAAGAATAAAAAGTGTAAAAAGGTAAAGGAGCCCTGGACGGTTAAGTCCATTAAAAGGTGACTATGGGGTGCAGCACTCATCTCGCTTTCAGGCCGAGGGAGCTGCTGTTTGTCCACAGACAGTTTTCCAGGTCATGTGGCCAGCGGGACTAAACCACTTGTCGTGCAACAGAACATCATGGCGCATGGAAATGCCATTTACCTTCCCATCACAGTGGTACCTATTTATCTACTTGCACTGGTGTGCTTTTGAACTGCTAGGTGGGCAGAAGCTGGGACAGAGCAATGGGAGCTCACCCCATCGTGCAGATTTGAACCACCAACCTTCCAATCAGCAAACCCAAGAGGCTCAGTGGTTTAGACTACAGCGCCACCTGCAACCCTGCCTCTTGAAGAATACTAGCAGTCTAGAGGCACATGGTAGATTTAATTGTGTGAAAATAGATTTTACTTCTGCTGAGTGCTGGTATACTGTCCTCTATAATTTTATTTTAATTGACTATCTTCCTGCTGCAAGGGAGCGAGACTAACTCGCATCAAATCTTCAGGGATGGAGATATTTATGTCTCCAAGCAATATTCTCTTGGTACAGGACCTTGTGTCCTGAAAGGCACCACAGTAGCTACATCTGATGCCAGTATCTACTATAAAATATTACGATGTTTGCATCCCATGAAACGCAGCAATACTTGTAGTATTCCACACTCCACACTTTTAGCAAGCATAACAAATGTCCAAATTGGTTTTGGAATCAGAAGATTTAATCAGAAATACTGGATTTTCTTGGTGCTGATTTGAATTGTCTTCTGGGAATTAATACTAGCAGTATAGCTCCCTTCACCTGCTCAAATGGTTTCGCATATATGGGGATGTTTCATATTTATCAATCAAGAACTATGAGCCCCCCTTTTGGCCATGCCTGTCATTCCCGGAGTTTCACCTTGTTCAACGAGTTCACAAAAAGAGTCACGCTGACTTGGGAGTGCTGAGAAAGACACTGAGCGGAAGAGACTGATTGGGGTGGAGGGAGAAACGAAGCCAAGCCAGCCATGCCATCCTCCCCCCCCCCCCCGCTTACTTCTGAGCCAGTTGCCAAATATTTTTCAGAATGCACAAGTCAGAATTTGGGGCCGGGTGCCAGAATATTTGAGCATAAATCAGCACCTTCGTTTTCACATAGTGTGCATGCTTGAATGCTGTAGCCCACGCATTTGCACTAAAGAGCCAAGTTTGTTGAGCTCAGTCCCAGCTCCTGACCATTTCATACACTGCCGCAGAAGACACAGCAGGGTGTGTGCCTGTGCTTCCTTCCATGGACATCCCCAATGTTTCTGTTGAGCCTAGGTAGGCAGGGTGGGTAGCAGCAAAACAATGCATCACTTTGGTGGCGGCGGCAGCAGCAGCTATGGAAACTTTTCTTATCCCCAATTCCTTGTGCAATTCCTTCATCAAGCACTAGAATCTTAAGTTTGGGGTCAGCTAGCACCAGCCATCAGCTAAAATAAAGCTTTTACTATTAACTCTGCCCCAGACTCACCCACATATCAGAGTCTTTGAAATAAAAATTTGGCAGTAGGGACTCAGCTACATTAGTAAAAAAAAAACCACACACCCCAGTGTTTTAAATGCATTCTAAACATGCAACACCAGATGGTGCTGTAGAGCACAAAACTTTTCTATGCAGTTTTACATAGGGTTTTTTCTTTTGATATACAGTGGTACCTCGGGTTACATAGGCTTCAGGTTACATATGCTTCAGGTTACAGACCCAGAAATAGTACCTCGGGTTAAGAACTTTGCTTCAGGATGAGAACAGAAATCGTGTGGCGGCAGCAGGAGGCCCCATTAGCTTAAGTGGTGCTTCAGGTTAAGAACAGTTTCAGGTTAAGAACGGACCTCCGGAACAAATTAAGTACGAAATCAGAGGTACCACTGTAATGATTTGATTTATGACTTATTTATAGCGTTTCCCCCGTGTGTAGATCCACTCTAGGTTTACAGCAGCAAGAATAGGAGTCATAGCTTAGAGGCACTGCACATGATTTGATGCAGAAGACCCCAGGTTTCATCCCCAGCATCCCCAGTTAAAAGAATTGGGTAGCAGGTGAGGCTTGATACCCTAGAGAATCTGCTTAAGGCATTGAAGAGCCATTGCCGATCATAAGTACATAAGAAGATCCCTGCTGGACCAGGCCAAAGGCCTATCTAATCCAGCATCCTGTTCTCACAGTGGTCAACCAAATGCCCATGGAAGCTGCAAGCAGAAGCAAGTCGTTCTTTTTCTTCTTCTTCACGTCAACTTTTTAGAGATTCAAAAACTGTGGTTATATCATGTCTTTTCAGTCTTCTTTTCTGTAATCTATACTTGCTAATCTATTGTCCCTTCTGTTCTTAACCATCTTTATGGTTTTCCTCGATTTTGTATCCTTCTTAAAAATGATGACCAAATAGGGACATAGTATTACAGCTGGTACTTAATCAGTACAGAGCAGCAGAGGACTGTTTCCTTCATTGCCTTGCATATGGTTCTCTTCATACCACCCCAGATGGCATTTGTCTTCTTCTTTTTTGTGACAGCCTCTCACTGCTGACTCATATTCACATTGCAATTTACTATAACTGTAGTGCTTTGCTGCTTTCTTTTAATCTTTGTTAGCTTTATTCTTCTTGTTGTAATTTACTACATCCCTAACAGTCCTTTGTTATTATCATTTTGAAACTTAATCACATCCGCTCACAAATCTTCTGAGTTTTGTATCCTGTATATTCTCCTTGCAGCCCATTACTGGCGGCCCATTAGAGTCAATGAGATAATGATGTAGTTTAGTCAGGGTTCTATGTGCTCCCAGAAAATGATAGCGGTTCCAGTAAGAGACAGCACTGTCACACAACCCCAAGCATCCATGGCAATATTGCATATTTGCACCAATCATAACATTATTTAAGCTATATACCAACTATATGGGGTTTGTCAACAGGTCAGTATAGACTGACCCCATCACTTCTGACAAAAGACTGATATTGATTCATTGGAAAAATAAAACTATAAATAAAACTATCCCCCTCCTTGATCAATAGACTTGACAACTCTTGCAACACAGAGAAATCAAACATCGTGCTTTGACTCTCACTCTCTCTCTCACACTTCTTGCTTTTCCTCTGGTTCACATCACAGCCCAAGAAACTCTACTTCAAACTCTTTTGTCTTTCTAACTATCTCTGAGTTGAGGGTGGGCTGTCTAGCACAGAGCCCCTTTCCCTTCGTTCTTTGAATGGCTCATCACCCAGGCAATCATCTCAACACAGGAAGCTAGCCTGGGTTATCTTAACATTTGCTGGATCCAGGGGTTCGGAAGGCTAGCCTGTCTTATATTTTAACCCTTGCTGGGTGTAGGGGTTAGAAGGGTTACAACTCTTCCTCACGCCCGCCCAACCTCATAGCACTATATTGTAGACAGTGACCATTATGGCTTGGAGCTGATGGGAGTTGCAGTCCAAAACATCTGGAAGGCACCATGTTGCTACCCACAAACGAGTAGAGCACCTGGCTGGTTTGCATACAAAAGGTCCCAGGTGCAATTCCTGACATTTCGAGGTAGGAGTAGCCAATTGCTGAGCTATATGGACCAATCGAGGTAAGGCGGTTTCCTTATCTTCCCACTCTCTCCCTGCCCATCACTGGGTGCAAATCGCCGTTTTTGTCCCCAAAAGGAACCTATTTAATCAGTATCGCCTAGGGAAAGCTGAAAAAAGCTTCATCCTAACTCATCTGAATGAGAAATTTGGGCGTGCCGTTACTTGTCGTGCTGCTGCAATCATCAACTGGTAATGTTTAGAAAAGGAGGCTCGTGGCTGGGGGGCTGGATTATGGGGGCGAGGGGGGGGGGCGGCGAAAGAGACTAAGCCAAGGTTCTTGTTGCATCCATCCCTCCATCATTCTAGACGTCGACCGTGCGAAGGGATAACGCGGAGCTGCCCTTGTTAAACCTCATTGGCTGCTGATTTTGTCACTCAGGTAGATCCCCGCCAGCGCTCCTAACCACCTCTTAATTCACACGGTCCTGCTATTGGCCGTCAGAGAGCGATGCAGGTTCATCGCCGTCCATATATATAGATAGAGATATATAGTGCATCCAGCCTCCCCGCCCCTTCCAGGGCTTCCTTCCTCTCTCGCCGCTGCTACGGCCGCAGCCCGATCCCTGATCGCTCTATGAGCAGCAGCTGCTGAAGAGGGGCGGGCAGGCGAGCGAGGGAGAGAGAGAGCAGCGAGCGCAGGATCCGCTTCCCTGGCGAAACCCGGCTTTCCATTGGACGACGCGCCCGGGTAGGCGGGTGCCGAGCGCGGGGCGCCCGGTGCAGAATTGGCCAGCCATAGGGGAAAGGAGGTGGAGTCGCCTTGCCAGTCAGTCTGCCCGTCCGTCCGTCCATCCATCCCTGGATCTGGGCTGCCGCGGGAGGAGGCGGGAGGCGGCCGTGGCGACCGCTCCGCTGGCTCCTCCCTCGCCGCCGCCGCCGCCGCCACCCGCAGCAGCTCCTCCATGGCCGCTGCGGCTCCCGGCGTGGTTGCCTCTTCCTCTGCGCTGCTGCATGTGCCGCTAGACGGGGAGGCGGCGGCCGTCGAGGCCGGGCCTGGAGGCTCAGGACCTCCCTGAGCAGGAGGAGAAGGAGCCGCAATGGCCCTGGCAATGCCGGCCCCGCAGGTAGGAGGGCCGGGGCGCTTCCCTGGCAGCCCCTCGGGAGACCCCCTTCTCCTGCTCGGAGGCCTGGGCATCTTCTCGCCCAAGAGCGCAAAGCACCGTCTAGGGGAGGACGGGCAGGGGCTCGGCGCCCCCCCCACCTCGCCTCCTCATTCCCGCCCCCTCCCTCTTCCGCCGCTGACCCGGTAGTTTGTTTTCTGTCTCCTTCCTCCCATGTAATGCAGGAGAAGTCTCCTCCCTCCTTATTCGAGGGCTTTTCCATGCAGCCCCAGAGGGGTCTAAGGGGGTCTCGCTCTTCTGTTCCCCCTCCCCTCCTTGTCCCCTGTAGGCAGGGCCTGAGTCCATCTGCCTTAGCTGTGCTGGAGCACTTGGCCTAAATGTCTTGGGACACTTGAATTTTCTCGGGTTGCAGTGACAGCCTTCTGTCTACAGGCTCTGGGCAGGCCATGAAATGAGAATGCTGTCTCCTTGCACCCTGTTGCCAAGGGGGAAGAAGAGGGTTTTCGCAGAGGCTGTGGTTGGGGAGAGAATATATTTACTTTCTAAACCCCGAAGGTGTGTCCTCCTGCCTACACCCTGAAGTAGTGACTTATCCTTCTCTGTGGACTGCCAACTAAGGAGTGGTTTGCTCTTCCTTTCCCTCAGGCACATCAACAATTGCCATTTATCACTCACTTTGAATGCACAAAGTGTTGTGCAACCCTTCCTATTTCCACAATGAACTCATTGCTGCTGGCCTTTTTAGACAGGCACTGAGGCTGAACTTGCTAAGTAAGGTACCTAGTATGTTTGCAGCTGATCAGTGGCTTGAACCAAGGTCTGTGGACAAGACAGATCTCCTTTGTTTTGTTAATTGTTTTCTGGCCCAACCAGGTCTTGTCACCTCCCAAGAGAAATGAAACGGCTCAGGGACATGGATGCTCTGTGTGCAGCCCCCATTGCTTGCTTGCTTTTCTGCCAACCTTTGTGGTCAGTGAAGAGAGACAGTACCTTCCCTGCCCAAGAACTAAAGATGCTTCCATCTTCTGTCCTACAAAGTTCTTAGTGGCAGGCTTCCTTAAGGGAGGGTGTATCTTTTTAGAAACTGCAACCAGCTTAAAGGTTAAAGAAAACAGCATTCTAGTCTGGCAACCCCAGTGACTCTTTTTCTCTGCTGGATAAGGACTTTGTGTTGCCCGTTTTAGAATGGCATTAGCTGCTTACGATTCCCAGTAATGTGCCACCTTTACTCTTTCCGCCATTTCCATCAAATTCTATCTCTGTATGAATGCTGATTTGTAGGTTGGTTTCTGGTGACTTTGACATTTTCAAGGTCTTAATTAAATTCACCCAGGATGTGGGCTGTCATTGCCCAGTTGTTAACAGTGGGCAGCTCTTACAGGATAGAAATCAACCAAGGGCACTTTGTCCATCTTGATACAGTTTTTCTATGATTTGCTGCCAACTGCTTTTCGTTGGAAGATTACCACATATGTTTGGCTTTGGTGTTAATGCCTGTTATTTATTTAATAGTCAGTGTAATTTATTTGTCCAAAATGGCAAGCATCGTGAATATAAGCTTTTGTTTTTGCTCTTTGCTGTAGCTGTATTGTTTTGAGGTTGGGAAAGCAAATAACTAAGCTGAACATCAGGGCAGTAGATATTTGAAATTGTACTTTTGGTTTCCAGGGCCTCGCTGTCTTTGCATTAATCGGATCCTAAAGAAAGTACTGCTGTTCTACTTGCCCGCATACCATCAAGTACCAGTGGGAAGCTTTCTTAATAGTATTAGGCGTTTGTTTTTAGCTGTAGTTGGAAGTCCAGTGTTACAGCTTAAACAATGGGGGAACTGTTTCCAAACAGTGTGTCTCAAATGAAGCAAGAATGAATGTATGCATGGGTGCAAACTGCTGCTGTGGCTTGCCTTGGGGGGCGGGTTTGACTCTGTACTGAGAGGAAGAGGTCCAAATTGCCAATCATTAAGTACCTGTTAGCTATGTTTCTTCAGAAGCTCTATCAGTGAGAACCTCTTGGATACTAATACGGTGTTTAAAAAGTTGTTTTCCTTGCTGATACTGGCTCATGAATTGCTTCTTTGGTATAGAATCTCTTAGCCAAGGAAAATAGAAATGATAAGAATGTCTTGTCTGAGTTAGAGTTTTAACATGTGGGGGTAAGTAGATGTTGCTTGCTAAGCTTAAGAGTGAATGGATGTTTGGAATTTCAGCCCTCGGGTGCCCTTAAGATTTAATATTTAACCTCTTCAGTCTTGATGTCAGCAATTTGGTGTTGTCACAGCTGAAACAGAAAAGAGTGATTTCTCTCTAAAATACAATGTACTTGGGATATAAGAGCCTTTTAGAAACTAAGAGCTGGTTCAAATATCATTTTGACATTCACAGGGTATTTGGTTCTAGAAAGAAAGTGGGTTGCTAACCTTCCCACCTTATCATTAGTTACAACTAGTCTACTTATTCAAAGCATATTTGTCCTGTTTGTTAGCACTTACTGGTATATTGAATTGGCATGGCGAAGGAGTAACAGTTTTCCAGAAAGTTGGGGTAGGTATCAGTTCACAGTTGCGGTAGCAGTTGCACAAAACTCTGGAAAAATAATAGTTCCCAGCCTGAAATGTTACTTTACAGGAGTTCATGTTCAGAACCCAGTTCGCACATTTTGCTTAGTCAAACCATGGCTTGGTATGACTGAACAAACGTGTGGATTCCTGGAGAGAACATCATGGTCATGTTGCTGCTCCTTCTCCCTTCTTCTTCTTCTTCTTCTTGCTGCTCCACTACCTGGAGCCAAGCCATGGTTTGGTTTAATATGTCCAAACCTGGACTCATGGTTTATCTCACTTGAGACAAACCACAGGCTGTAGCCAGTGTTTGTTCTGTGGCTTATCACATACATCCAACGCCAGGCTCATGATTTAACACCAAGCCAAACCATTGTTGTGCTCACAGCTGTATTGCACTAGCAGAACTGCAGGACGAGCGAAGCGATCACAATTCTTCTCCTTGAGAATCCACAAATTTGCTCATTCACACGAGGCCATGGTTTTAGCGTAGTGTTATGTGCACATGAGGTCATTGGGTTGGGTCCAGACTTAGTCCCATAAATATCAGTGGGTCTACTTGAACCCAATGACTGTCTGGATCCAGCCCATTGTCCCTCAGCGAGGAAATCTGTTGCTTTGTTGATAGTTCATTTTCTTTCTAATCATGTTTGGGCAACAATACTTTATTTTTCTTGCCCATATGCTATGCCTTGTGTTTTGTACTTTGCATCACAACTGTTTGAAGTCTCAATGGTCTAAAAACGTCTACTGGTGAAGAAATTGCTTCCATCCTGGGTTATAACATATTGCCATTCAAAAAGCAGCTTGAAATGAAAAAGTAATGTACTTGAAACTTTTACAAATGATCAAGAGGGTAAGATTTGATTTTTCATTAACTTTATTTGTTTAGGAGAATATCTGGTACGATAGTGAAACATTGTCAAAAACATTTTTCACTCTGTACAACTAAAGACACAACCTGGTGTCACAGTTTATATTAAAAGATTATGTGCCATGGAATAAATAATATTAAACTACTGTTTAATGTTCACAGTGGGTCGTTGTCCAGATAGGCGTTTTAAAGCTCCCATATTCTCTTTTCAAGTGGAGAGCTAGCCTTATAACATGGGCCCTTCCTTGTAGGTTTCTGCTGCTGTATGATATAGTGAGCCATGCACAATATCCTTCACTACTGTCATCTGAAGACTTGGCTGTAAGAGGGTGCGACTGCATGCTGATGAAAAGCATGCCTTTGTTTCAGTCCTTTTCTCTTGCTTGCACAACCCTTCACAGACATGTGCACGAGCATTAAACTTTTTTTTTAAATGATGGTGTTCCTGTGATATTAGGAACTTATGCCTTATTCTGACTCAGACCATTGGTCCATGTAGCTCAGTATTGTTAACACTGACTGGCAGCGACTCTCAAGGGTTACTGACAGTGGACATACCCAGTCCATGCTGGGGAATGAACTTGGGACCTTCTGCAAGCAAAGCATGTGCTTTGCCCCTGAACCACAAGCGTTTCTTCTTGGTATATTACATCAGATCAGCTTGCCATTTTTTATAATGTGGAGAATCCCCACCTACTTGGCCTCTTTCTGGTTACAGTGACTGGACCTTAAGACTAATGAGTAATTTGTATTGAGCATAGCTCACCACCACATGGATGACTTTCAAAATGTGGCTTGTGCTATGAGTTTGTGAGCTGCAGTCTCATTGTATATTGGCGAACTCAAAGAGTGGTTACCATGGCAAATAAGGCAGCTTAGGATGACTTTTACCATGTCATCATTAGATCAGAAAAGGGTTGATGTTAAAATCCATTTCTCTCTTTTCTTCCCTTTCCCCCTGCCCACTGCCAAACTTCTTGTCCAGCTCCAAATTGTGACTTCACTGTGTCTTTGGGAGGCTGCAAGCCTTTGGTAGCCTCTTCAGGTTGGCTGTATTAAGACTCAATGCTCATTCCAGCATCTCCTCCATAACTTTGGGCGTTGTGGCTTCACAGAAGTATGCATACATAAGGAGGGGATGGTGAAGAAGAAAAAGGAATGGAAGTTCAATTTAATTTTTTCCTCCATTTGCTTTAATATTTGCATGCCACTTTTACAATAACCAAATTGAGCCCAAAGCAGTGCAGAACAATAATATTTAATATTTATTTTATTTATCGAATTTGTATACTGCCCTTCATCTGAAGATCTCAGCGCAGTTCACAGCATAAAAATACATAATAAAATACACAATAAATACAAGAATAAACAAAAAGTAAACAGCTAACCTCCCCTCCCACAAACCCATTTAAAAGGACATAGAATGTTAATCAGCCCAAGGCATGGTTGAAGAGGAACCTTTCTGCCTGGCACCTACAGATGTCTAATGAAGGCACCAGGTGAGCCTCCCTGGGGAAAGCTTTCCACACACGGGGGGCCACTACAGAAAAGGCCCGTTCATGTGCTGCCACC